CTCTTGACCCAGGGGTTTTAGCCAACTATAGACCGATTTCTGACACACTTTGCTACAAAAAACGATTTATGGTCGAGCAGAACATCGGAGCCATATCTCTCTCTGAACGTGCATTTCATTGATGAATCTTGGCTACTTCAGAGCTACAGTTTGCAAATGTCCTATTTCCCAGATGATCACACAGGAGACATCATTGCCCTTGGTCTGAAAGATGCTCTCGCATCATGGTCGTTGACTGAAGAGGACATGGTCTGCATGACCACTGACAGCGGTGCAAACGTTGTCAGTGCAACTAGAAAAGAAGAAGTAACAACTAGAAAAGACTACCGTGCTTTGGGCACCGGCTTCATATTGCAATTGGTGAGTTATCTCATTTGAACATTCTTATTTAATGCAGTTGATATGAAAAAACAATTTTTTATTTGAGTGTCTACCATGTCAAGATAAAAGTGAAAATAAATCAGTTTAAGTAAGGGATAATGCCTGACGAGGTGTCCATAATCAGGAATTAATAGACAACGTTGCCTCCGCAAAGTCCATTCATTCCTGATTATAGACACCTCGAAGGGCATTATCTCGCTTACACCATGGTCACTTGCCAAAGAAATTAATACCATTAATTTATATTTTCATGCGTTTTATAATAAAAATATAAAGTTTTTCACAAGGCATAACTTAGTTTCCCTGGTAACACCTGAGGGGTCGACTAATACCTGGAACAATCATTACCCTCCCGTAAGGTTCTTATGCAACGGAAACGTTGTTCACTCCTCCAGTAAATACGACGGACCTTAGATACGACTTGGCAACGGGAGATATTCTAGTCCGCTCAGCTTTGAGCCAGAGAGTTAACGTTATGCTAGCAAGATTCAAAGTCAATAACACTGCGTACAGTTGACAAACAGTAAATATAATTTGACATTATGTTTAACAACAAGACTAGCTAGCTAACCAGTCATGTCATTGTCCCCAAATCAATATCAAGATCAGCCTGAAGCAGTGAGTTGAACAGCGAACGGGATGTGAGATTATTCGCTTATGTGATACAAAGTATCAGTAAGTTTAGAGGGGAAGTGTACTTTCTGCAGCTTGTGTGTTACAGTCGCCTGTCGTCCTGTGGTGTTCAGAGGATAAGGCACTGAAGGACTGATGGACTGTTGACAGGCTGATACGATAGCGCATTCATTTAGAACGGTGAACAGACAATTTGACTGGAACTACTTAGTAAATTTCCATATATCAGGGATTAATGGACACCCTGCAGCCAATCAGAGTATTCCTCCAGACCATGGTATAAGAAAATATAAATATATTTTTATAGGTGTTTTATTATTTGACAGTTTAACAAATACCCTACTAGGCTTATATGAAATTAACTGCTATTTTAAACTGCAATGCATGGTAGTATACGGCCTAGATACATGGCAGTGATGTTGCCTCATTACACTATGAAACTGGCTAATAATGAATGTTGTTCCGTCTATTTCAAATATTTTCCAGAGAGGAGCATGCGTGATTCTAGGATAGACCGAGCCATTGGAGTGTGCAAGAAGGTAGTTGGAGCCTTTTCCAACAGCTGGAAATTGAAGAAAGCACTGGGTGATGCTCAAGATCTGCTGAAGCTCCCAGAACATAAACTCATCACAGAATCACCAACAAGATGGGGCTCAAGACAGCGCATGATTGAGAGATTTGTTGAGCAAGAAAAGGACATTCGTCATGTGCTGGGTGCAGACAAGAAGCACACGCATCTTATCCCAACATGGCAAGATGTTGATGTGCTAGAATCAGTGAGCAAAGCACTTAGTCTCTTGCTAGAGTTTACGGATGCTCTTTCAGGTGAGCAGGTAGTGACCATCTCCTACCTGAAACCGGTCCTGTCGTTGTTCAACTCTGAGGTCCTGGCAGTGAAGTGTGATGACACAGAGCTCACAAAGAAAATCAAAGAAACCATAATGGAATACCTTAACACCAAGTACAGAGATGACAATGTGGGTGGCCTATTAAGTGTGGCATCCACATTAGACCCATGGTTTAAAAACCGTTTCAATGAAGATGACCAGGTCATAGTGTCCACAATTTCCTCTAAGCTTTTGTCTATAGCAATGCAGGAAGAGAACGATTCTTCAGGTCCCTCAACTGCCTCAGCTCAGGGTGCCTCAGCAGAAAGTGGAGCAGATGGAGGAGACACCACTGAGCCAGCCAAAAAGACAAAGAAGTCTTTTGGCAGCTATTTTAAGAAACCAACCAGAGGGGAGTCACTGGCTATTGGCATCGAAAAGGAGCTCAAGAGCTACCTGATGATACCAGAGGTGGACAGTGATGTGAATCCACTGGAATGGTGGAAGACACAGGAGGTGAATTTCCCCAGACTGGGGAAACTGGCTAAAAAATATCTCTGCATCCCTGCCTCAAGCAGCCCTTCAGAGAGGGCATTTAGCACAGGGGGAAATGTTTTGACATGTCATCGGGCTTCACTCAAGCCTGACAATGTGGACAGACTGGTGTTTTTGGCTCATAATCTGAAGTAGCCTGTTAATGTAATCAGTGAACCGTTAGCCAAGAATGTTAAAATGTTCAAAGTTCTGCAAAGTTTCTGGCATCTGTCCATGGCTGTAATAATACTGGGTATTTTTTCTATCTGAGAATTGTGGAATTTTTTTTAACATTAATGTAATTTGTTTACAAATCTCTATATTTTTGTACAATATTTGAGAAAACCCTTAGTGAACCTTTTTAGCAAATTATTTTTTTGTAGGTTTTTGTTGTTGTACAATCCTGGATGGAACTTGAAGTTTGTCATTTGTTTAATAAGGCCATAAGATAGACTTGATGATGATGTGCAATAGTTCTCAAAATATGCATGGAGCACTTTGTTACAAATGCTACTGTTTTTATTTTATCATATGCTCTTGTTTGTCTGCACTCCAGCACAATTTACCTGACAGCAGAGCATCTGAATGTTTACAGAATTCAATATTCCTACATTGTAGTTCAATTATTGAGTTCAAAAGCTCAAAAATTGAGAGTCTTTGTTTTATTTGTACTTGAATGCTAAAGTTTAGAGAAAATAAATAAGTGTTTTCCTTAAACATTGTGCCCATTATTGTAATCTTTAAGTAGGTATAAGGGTCTGTGTCCACCAAACACGTTTTTAGTGCTAACAGCGCCTATTTTGAATACAAATCCTATAAGCTTCAGCGTTCAGAGCGCTCAGCGCCTTCAGCGGTAAAACGATGTCAGTGGAGACGGTTTTTTAGCGCAGCGCTCAAAGCGCTTAATAGGATATCGACTGATTATCGTTACCGCCAAAATCCCCAAAAAAATCGAGATATTATTTTTTTGCCCATATCGCCCACCCTTAGTTACACCCCTTTTACAAATAATATTTAATCATGCTCAATAAAAAAAAGACCCTCCTAAAACTTGGTCAGAAGAACGATAGGAGGGAAACCACTGACTTTGAGTTTGACAGATAAAATCTGAGTTTGACAGATAAAATAAATTCATAAAGCACTGCAACACAGGACCACGAAATAATTAATTAAATAGTGAAATAATTATAAATGATTTTTACGTAACATGAATCGGTATTTTAATGAATTAATGACACATTTAATAACACATTTATGTATTTAATTCCAATTATAATGAATGAATGACACATTTAAGTAATTATTTAATGATGTATTTAATTATTGAATTTTGGCACTTTTAGTCCTCCATTGGATAACTGCATTTCGTTGTTTGTACCTGTACTTACAATGACAATAAAGTTGAATCAAATCAAATCAAATATGTCAAGATTTGTCTTGCCTTTTTCTTTTGTTTCAAGTTTTTTAAACAATATGCATGATTTTAAAATTTTTACATTTATCATATCTGTTGAAGCATAACCTGTAGTTTATGCACACTTGATGGCAAAAAAGCCTACGATGTAGTGACCAAAGATGGATGATCCATAGCTCTCACCTAACCAAAGCTGATATCACTATTGTTAACACAACAAAACCAACAATGTAACAAACTTACTTTGGCTTTCATAGAACTTAAAGCCTATTTTTGCATAAGAATTCAAAATAAATTATTTGTATTTATATGTAAGGGATAATACCTGACAAGATGAAGTTAGTAAATAAGTTAGTTTAGTCAGCTTACTCCATGAGTAAATCTACTACTCATGCTCAAACCCCATTGCCTCACAGAACAAGGGACTTAAGGGCGGAGGACCGTTGTGCAGTTGGACCCTTCTCTTTGTTTTAGGTTTCTTCGAAGCTTCGGTTGCTTCTTTGTCTCGCGAGAGTTGCATATGGGAGCGAGATTCATCATGGCGACTTACTACTGCTAATTATTTCTACTGTAAACAAACAAAATAAACTGTATTACTAAGACCAAATCACGGATATATATGTGTCAGCCAAAACCATAGAAACTGAAAAGACCACTACACCTACCTAACGTTACAGTGCAACATTCCGGATACCTCTTCCACAGCCACCCACTCAGACCACAAAACAAAACAAGAACAAACAATAACTACAATCCATTAACTTGAGCTGCCGGTCCCATCCCGAAACAATGGCCATTTCATATCGGTAACTAATACAACAGTGACCATTATGTATTACGTATCCAGGGGATGTAGACTACAACTATAACAACACAGCAAAGTGATAGTAACGAATTCAAGTTAATGGCGTATTAAATGCGCTTAAAACAGCATAGAAATGGGATAGAATGGTACGTTAGGACAATAAATGAGAACGTTACATTACACCTGTAAACACTCATGAGCACACCATGTCAGCTAACGTTCCTTAAATTAAACTGGTTATATGGCCTCGAATCTGCCCCCGATTATCTTTTAACCTTCCATTAACGACATGGCAATAAAATTAATAATCGATTCAAAGCCAAAACGTCTAACATAGCTTAAACGTTAACTTTATAATTAACGTTTGACCAGCTAATACGTTAACTAATAAGTCACGTTCACGTACCTTTCTTTGTAGGTTTTGTAGTGACGGATGAAGTGGGACGTTGGGGTGGTCGTGTCATAATTTTCTTTTGAGCATACCTTGTATGTCGCTGCCTTCTTACTACTGTAAACGTAATCCCTGAATCCAAATTGTATTATTTTTGGACTACCGTCCTCCATGATAGCTGCCTTGTGTTTGCTGGGAGACGCTCGCGGTAAAAATAGACAAGACCTAGACTCTCCAGTGAAGCTTTGCTGCAGCCGCAGCTGAGAGGTGGGTCTCACGCGGGCAGTGTGACTGCTATAATCTCTTAACACGGTTGCGTTCCGCCACGCAAACACAGGCGGTGAGAACTAGCCATAGTGGTTTCGCCAGTCTTTTCCGCGAGCGGTAGTGAAACGGGTCTCTTTATAGTCATCAACATTAGACCAGCAACATGTACACCTTTCACTACATTTTCGATGTCTATAGGCTACACCAATCGGCCATATTATGACCACATTTCACCTGTCAGTGGTTATGTTATGGCTGATCGGTGTATATGTAGAATGTGTCACAGACATGAAAAATACATTTAGGAGAAGCCATCCATATGTTAAGAAGGTTTTTATTGAATTTACTTAATTGTGTTTATCAAATGCTAACTCAGAATAGAAAGATAGGGCTGGTAGCAGCAGCTCTGCAGCAGAAGCACATGTGAGCTGCAACAATTCAGCGAGGCAGCCGTCAACAATACACTGAATATCAATTCAAGTATCAAGAACACTGCATAGCTTTCAAAGCATCTGCTACATTTTCATGACTCCTTTATGCAGTATCAACTTTGATGAATTTGATCACTTTAAACAGGTTATTGCAATGCAATATGAAAAAAAATTATTTAAAGTAAATATCTGTACTTGTAACCCAAACATACAGCTGTACGGTGGACCAAGTGTTGGTTAAAAAAAAATTATATAGACTAAGGGTAAGAGGAAAATATACCATTATTAGGCATGCATTTATAACTGTAACCTATTTTTAAATAAGAGTGCAACTGCATTGTATAAAAAAACATTATAATTGTTAACATTTCCATAATGTCTCAAGTCTTGTTGTAGTCAACCAAAGAAAATCTTGGTCAATTGACATTCTACCTACTCTAAAACAAGATGAAACATAGCAAAACTTGCAGCTTCCAAGTTTGTAGTCAGGTCTTGGACAGCCCGTAATGTTACTGATCCATCATTGAGCCTGAAGCTGAGTTCAGTAAATTAAGCCCTGCTGTGATTATGATTCTTAAAACAGAACCACATTTGTGAGTAAAATATATTATTCTGATAAATAATCAATGCTATTTCTAACAATATAAAAATAAAATACAACAGGTCTGCATTTGTCCTTCCCACTCAGAAAATAATAGATTAAGAAGCAGTTTTCTCTTTAGCAAAGTAACACCAGTGACTATCCAACCAATGAGCATTTAGTTGGGTAAGAGCATAGTGACAAACCAATCAATCCACTGACCAGAAGGTGTCAGCCCTACGCAAATCTCAGGTCACTATGTGTCGCAAACTCATGTCCCCATCTCTGTTCCTGTGTTGTGAAATTATGATTTATATGCTCTGAAAGTGAATGCTTGTACCTTAAGTAATATTATTAGAACATTAATAACCTAGTTATGAGGTGAGAAACCAGTTGAGTAAGAACATGCAAAGTGACAGATTGTCTGGAGCACAGGATCCACACACTGGATTATTTTCACTGTCATTAAACCTCCAGCAAATAAATCCTGTGGCTTGGCTGCAGGGTACATGCTTTGGAATTTAAAATTAGACGAGCTTTGAACTTGCCTCAGTTGACTGTGTGACTATGATGCAGAGTGAATGTGGATATTCTGAGGCAGGGAAACAAGTCAGTTTGTATTGAAGTGCAGTGTCTTCCTGCAATGGAGACCTAAGAACTATATATATGGAATAAATGAATATATTATTATTTGTTTGTATTTATTTACTTTGTTTGAATGGTGTTTATATTTGGAAGTACAGACAAATGATTTGATACTTATGTGTGGGAATTTTATTGCAATAATTTCATGGTTTTGCTCCTCTAAGATGTATACACAGAAGCAAGTTTATTTTCCCCAAAATCTGCTTCTGTGCATTTATGAATTAACAGTCTGTTGTTAATATTATTTTTTTTGTTAATGTAAGTAATTAGTCATAACTCACCCACTTAAACCAACTTATTTTATACTCAGCTTCTTCATTTCTCACTCTGTAGCTTATTCTCTCCAGATTTCTTATATTGTTTCTTTCTATCTTTGAACTGATGGGCATTAAGGTTTTAGCCAGGTCCTAGTTATTTACTTACTATGGTTGTGATTTGGAGTATTCTTCATGAGTACTGGTCCGTTTCCTGTGTCAGCTCTAGAGGTGATTTTCCAATAATAATATTTATTGAGTAACACGTTCATTTGGTGTGTTTTTTTATTTTTATAAAAAATAACCATGATACCTGTTTATGACTGAATGCCAGAATGATTTTAAACTATGCAGAAAAAGAAAATGTGCAAAGTACATGTGGAGTAATAGAAATATATCTACACACTGTTTTCCATTATTTTTGATTCATTCTCCACTTTCAGAAATCCATTTTTGTTGAATGCTATTGTTGGTGTTTTATACAGATTTTAGTGTTTTATAAAAAATAACCATGATATCTGTTTATGACTGAATGCCAGAAGGATTTTAAACAAGGTAGAAAAAGAAAATGTGCAAAGTACATATGGAGTAATAAAAATATATCTGCACACTGGTTTCCATTATTTTTGATTCATTCTCCAATTTCAGAAATCCATTTTTGTTTAATGCTATTGTTGGTACGTACATAACGTAAATCAGATCAAAGTTGCAATGCAGTGCTTACTTCCTGTTGCCAGTAAGAGGCGCTATCACTACATCTGAACATTGTCATGTAGACGTGTTCAGGGCAGGACTCTTATCAAACGTGAAGTTTAGTGGAGATTGGACATTGTACACTGAAGTTATGAGTACGGTGAAGATGAGAGCACAACTGTCTATGATTTACCATTACTAAATTAAGTCTGAGTCATTTTATTTTTCTGCGAACATTAGCTAGGAGTAAGCTGGGTGGTGGAATAGGCCAGGTGTTCTAGCTGGCTGGGTGGGAGTTCTGTGATCCTCTTAAGGTTTACTGCACTTAATCCAAACCCTGCACTTCTTTCTTCTTTCTTATGTTGCCAAAAAAATACCAAATAGGTACCAGATACCATTTATTGCCATAAAGAAAAATGCTAATTAAATTATATACACCACAAAAATAACACAGGCAGGGCCACTTTAGTGCATAAGTAATTTTACGTTTGAACTTCTACACAATTAAGATTATGAAAGCCGGACTTGTAATTAAGTATATATATAAATTAATAAACTTTTTCTTAAACCTGGAGTGGTTTTACTTTGTGTTTAATAATAATAATAATAATACATTTTATTTATAAGCGCCTTTCTAAATACTCAAAGACACTTTACATTACATGTCACATTGTTTGTAGTAATTATGTAATTACTCTCACTGCCATGTGGGGGAAACAAAAGTTCTGCACTCTAGGTTTAAGTAAACTATCGGAATACATTTTCCAACTGGTCTAATTAGATACATCCAATCACCTTGCTTGACAGCAGTCAGAAACATGGATGTATTATGTAGCAGACCTGTTGACAATTCTGCATAGATCATCAGAAGGTGTGCATGCTTCTTGTGATACTTGCATTTCTCACAACAATCTTCTCAGTCAGTCCCAAACAACTGACAACAACAACTTCATCCTTTATATCCTCGTCTTTTTAAAACACACCTATCATACTGTATTTATGCCTATACAGACATATACTGATGACATAGAGGGGTTGAAGGCTTGAATCAAAGACTTCTCATCCTGCTTTGCATTCAATCAGCTCTGCCGGGAGGATTGGAGGGGAATTGGCTGGGATTATCTTAGCGCTGCCATGTTGCATCACCACAACACCCTGACAAATGACATGCAGACACACCCACAGGAGAATCTTTCAGTCTGTTTCTTCTTTCTGATTCTTAGTAATTCTTCTGTGGTTGCAAAATAAAGTAATGTCTTATCAAGAAAAAGGCAGTCATATGTATTCATAAGAGCTCTTGTTGGCCAAACTGACTTACTGCAGAGGCCCACAAAGGGTTAATACAAGTGGAGAATCCCTTCTGTTTAAAGGGCAGTGTGTAATTTAAGCTGTCTACCTCTCCCTATCTGCTTGCCTTTGATCGGTCAAGGCTGTTTCCTTGTCGAACTGTACAATATTGTCACCCTTTAATTTTATCAAAGTCTACAACGTGCAAAACCTCTTTGTCTCTTTTAGATGATTCAATCTGATGAAAAACATTATACATAGGGCGTACTGGGCATCGTGCACCTCAGTTTTAGGGCCAGTTTTGTCGGTGATCAGCATACAGAACACCGACGGATTTAAGTTTCTGCCTGACATACAGGCAGAAACTTAAATCTGCTAAGCCTGTGGTCAAGACCGTGAGAAGATGGACCAATGAGTCAAAGCTGGAACTACCTGCTTTGACTACACTGATTGGAGTGTTTTTGACCTTGCAGCCACAGACCTGAATGATGATGACCTCACTGACACTGACCACTCCTTTTCTCTCTCTACACAAATGACTGCACATCAAGAGACCAGTTTGTGAAACTCAGTCATCGGCCTTATCCAAAACAGTGACAAGTCTGCATACAGACGGGAAGTTGAACAGCTGGCCCAGCTGGTGTGGTCAGAACAACCTGGACCATAACACGCTCAAAACTGTGGAGATGACAGTGGACTTTAGGAGGAGCCCCCAACTCTGTCCCCCATCACCATACTCAACAGCCCTGATGATCAGTTAACTGCCCTGTACAATAACCCTCTCACTCTAATATCCACTGAACCTGGAAACTATTTATTTATTTTTCCATTGTTGAAATTCAGTTTATTTTTTAAAAATAACATAAAACATAAATATCGCTGTCACTCTAATACTTCTACCTATGCTGTGGATACTGTATACTGTCATATCCACCTACAACATGTACTTTATGTAATTCAGCATCCTTTGTTTTTTGTTTGTTTATATATATATATATATACGTATATATAACTGTACATATTAGTCTATGTTTATTTTGTTGAACTGGCAACCAAAGGCATTTAGTATATTTTGCGGCCTGTTAGCCAAACTAGGAAAGTCAGTCCATAACTTTGGTCCTGACTGTAGTTGCCATGGTGACTAGTGCTGAGTGATGATGAACTACCAGTGACAACCATCAGCTAATGGT